GTGGGGGGGGGGATAAAGAGTATTGTTCGTCAAGTGTCCATTTTCATTGCTAACCATGTGGTCCGTAAGGGGTAGCTGACCGAAGACCCATCTGACCTGGAGCATCTTCCAGATGATATAGGCTGCATAACCCGAGGATTTTCCCATACACCGCCCGAAAATGCAAAGCAGAACCCATCCCGCAATTCCAATGCCCCTTATTTAGACTTCCGCAATTTCCCTTAGACGACGCAGAGTCGAGCGCATGGCAGCGGCGGCAGGGGTGCTGTGCAGAGCATGTTAGTGGATTGGTCCAAGTAAGGGAAGGTAAGCAAGGTCAAGAGGCAAAGCCTTCGTCGGGATAGCAACATACGCAACGGTGTAGGCACCTCCGGCACTAGAGCAATCGTCAAGTCAGCACGGTGAAGTTCAAAATTCGGAGTGTGACGCTAGGGACGTACACAGTCTTCCTGCAGGACTTGCAGTTCCAGATACCGGTGGAGTGGCGCTTGACGGTGGGCTTGCCGCAGAAGGTGCAGGTGTAGGTGGCGTGCTGCGAGATTTCCATCTTCTTGACCTGCTTCCTCAGCGAGGCACCATATCTGGTACCGTACTTGCCGGTGACGCCGACTTTCTGCACAGCTGTTAGCTCACATGCATGAATCCAGTGTTTGCGCTTCCAAGACTCAGCTGCATGTCGCGCCGGTCCCAAAGCCTGCGCCCCAAGTCCTCTTGTGCAATGTCTGTGTTGTATGGTAGTCAATAGATGCTTGTTGTCGAATTCAGGCGCTTCATTTTATGCCGGGCTCTGTTGGACGTCGACAATTGATGTTGTGGTCGTAGGTCTTGTTTTCGTTACGCCTTTCCACGTTGGCTGAGACCCCATCCATCACCCAGGCATTCGATGGCACATGGAACGGGTTATGCTCCCAAGGCATGGTCCCAGAGACATGACTCCGTCCCATGGTCTATCGCACGCCGCATGTCTTCGACGGAAGCAGAATGCCTCCGAAATTGGCTATACCCGTCATGTCGAGAGGTCTGGGAACGTCTCGGAAATTTGCACTTGGGTACTTGGACGCAGGCATGAGGAGATCGGTGCGCATGAGAGGAGCGGCCTTGCAAGCGAGGTGCAGCACGGAGCACGAGCATGAGATTAAAGGTGACGAACCTTGGTGCGCTTGGCCATTTTGTCGAATGTGAGGAGAAAGTCGAGGTTGAGTGGGCGGCGATGAGGTGGTTGAAAATGGCGGGTTGGTACGGCGTCGGCCTCGTCTTTGAAAGAATTTTGGGTGTAGTGGTGGGATTTCGGCAGTAGGGCTTTCTGTGCGTGCACAGACCAGGCCTCGATTGGCAGCCAGCATAGGCCTCGAGGGGTAGCTTATGTAAACCCGAAGTCTTGTTCACAGGACGTAATTACCTATTCAATGTCAACCATAAGGGATATTACATAATACTGGGAATTAGGTACCTAAGTACTTCGATGCGTAAGCGTTCCCTTGCCTCGGACTCGCAACCTTGAGCTTTGAACCAAGCAACTAAAAATCCTGGACGAAACGTACCAGCTCCGGAGCGAATGGATACTTAAGGTACCTAGGTAGGAAAGGAACCATTGCCGACAGATTATAGTGTATTGTACAAAGTACGGATGCGTTCTGCACAGATGGCGAGCACCTGAGATAGGTAGGTAGCCTGCATGGATCCGTACCGTCTCCTCTCCCTGGTAGATACCTAGATACCTAGGTACAAAAGTTCCTTTTTATTATGTCTCCGTGTTTGCGTCTTACAGGTGTCAAATGCCATCCTCAGGTAATTGACAGTACACGCCATTAAGGCTGAATCATGACGTCCGTGATCCTTCAGCGTGTTTAGGCAGTGGCCATTTGTGGTACGACCTAGAGGAAACGTACGATCCAGCCTTTCCATGTAGACCTGTTTTCCTTGATTGATAGCTATAAAACCTGTTGAACCCACAAGGCGGGTCGACTCGAATATCATCTCTCTGGATCCTTGCAATTATCCAACCACACTGCTCAGTGTCTTATTATCCTTCCTCGATCCCATTGTAATCGCAAGAAAGAAACCGAGACGCCGCGAACATGTCCTTTCGAAACCACGATCGCCAATATGACCTTGTCGTCTTCGGTGCGACAGGTGAGCTGCTTGCCCTTGCTTTCAGCAAAGCTCTTCTCACTACCTAGACTGACATTCTTATTCGCACACTGTAAGGCTATACCGGCGCGTTGACAGCGGAACATATCACCGCCCATCTACCGTCCAATCTGAAATGGGCCGTTGCTGGTCGTTCAGAAACCAAACTTCAAAACGTCATTGCCGAATGCAAGAAACTCAACCCCAACAGACTTCAACCAGGTGCGTCTCACAGCTCCTCATCTTAGCATCTCTGCAGCCAGAGGCGCTTACGGTGCTGGGACTGGCCAATGATTTCGCGGCAATGGGTCGCATTCAGTGTTCCCGCCCCCCCAAGACAAAGGATATCTATGTTGCGGGACTCCCAGGGCAGGCAAAGAACTGACCAACTGTGGATTCCGAGTAGAGATCGAGATCTGTAACCTGAATGGCGCAGAGCTCAACGCTCTCGCTAAGAAGACCTTCATCCTCATCACGGTAGTGGGACCATACTCCCAATACGGCGAGCACGCGTTCCGCGCATGTGCTGAGAATGGCACTCATTACTTCGATGCTACCGGCGAGGTCCCCTGGGTCGCGAAGATGCTTGCCAAGTACGAGGACGCCGCCAAAGCAAGCGGCGCCATGATGTTCCCTCAAATGGGTCTCGAATCGGCTGTGCCTGACCTGATTACCTGGTCGTTGGTCGAGATTATCCGCGAGAAGCTATCGGCCAAAACTGGAGATGTCACACTCTCGATCCACAAGATGAGGTGAGTTGCGCTCACGTGTTGCTTCTCCGCCCGCTGCTTTTCTCCTGACACATCTCGCCCTCAACCTAGTGCAACGCCATCGGGAGGAACACTGGCAACCGTGTTTAACCTTTTCGACCAATTCTCCCTGGGCGAGATTGGAAGCGCTTTCCGGCCCTATGCCTTGTCTCCTGTTCCGAATCCCAGAAAGGTACCGTCCCGCGACACGCTGGTGACGAAACTGCTCGGAGTGCGTACGATTCCCGAGCTAGGTACTCTCACGACGTCGGTCGCCGGGACTACCGACACGAGCGTCGTGCAGAGGTCATGGGGTCTCCATGCCTCGCTGCCGTCCAGGCAACAGAAATCGTATGGCCCCAACTTCTCCTTTGTGGAGTTTTATAGGGCCCGGAGTTGGTTCCACGGTATTCTCGTACATTTCTCCCTCGCTCTCCTCGGCATCGTTATGGTGACGCCTCTTCGTGGCATTGCTCGGAAGTTCGTCTCCCAGCCCGGAGAAGGCCCAGACAAAGAAACCGCCAGCAAGGAAGAGATGGAGCAACGCGGCATCGCCATACCTGATGTAGAGCCCAGACCGGACCAGATTGCCGCCAGCCGTGCCTGGTACAAAGGCAGCATGTATTATCGTAAGTTGAACATCGTCACGAGTCCTTTCCCTTCTTGTCCAATTCCGACTCTTGTTCTGCTCCCGCTGACGACTCCTTGCAGTGACTGGCATTCTGCTATCAGAAGCTGCCCTGACCGTGCTGGAGGATGATGTAGATCTACCTGGCGGTGTCTTCACCGCGTCTTGCCTGGGACAGCGATACATTGACAGACTTGACGGAGCTGGGTTCAAAATGGAGACCAAGTTGATTCCCTCATAGACTGTATACCAGGGTTTCATACAACACGTCTTGGCTTCTTAATATCGGTAACACTATTTTCAATTCAATCACCAAACTGATCTCTCACAATTGTATCCGGACGAATACAACTCTCGTCATTGAGTAGGTAGCACAGCAAGGTATTCTGTGCTTTGTACTTACAATGTACGGAGTACAGACGATACGGAGTACAGTCCCTGTGAATGTGCAAACTTTATCCGTACCTAGGTACGGAGTACTCCGTAATCGCGAAAAAAAAGAAACCTAAGCAGAAGTGGGGCTTCCAGAAATTCCCATACAGGTAGACAATCCGAAGACAGTACGGAGCAGTGATTAATATCTTGAGGTACTCCATACATTAGCTTGCAGCTGCAGTTTCAGACGTCATCAATGAATGGGCTTCATGACCAGAACTGATAGGATATTCTCTGAGCCCATCTCAACACTGCAATCCAGAATAGACGCGAGAAACAGCAACCACTCCCGTGCGACATTGCAATAGCTCAATTGGCTGATCTCGTGGCGTCCCATTTGGACCGAGCGCAGGACACTCCGATTCTCTGATTTTTCCCTGGCTGATTGTCCTGGGTTACACAAGTGCCTGAAATGGAAGAACAGGCGTTATCTGTTCCGTCAGATGCCAGCGACACGACGCCTCTCCTCCATTCAATATCAGCACCCGATACCGCCCCTGCGCAACCGAGAGTCACTCGAACTGTCACTTTCAACCCGAACCCAGTAACCAGAACCATCGAGCCAGCGCGCCAGCTCGAAGTCCCGAGGCAGAGGGCGTCCCATTCTTTCCAACTGCCCAACAGTCCACGGGCCATCGCGGCCATCAATAATAAGCTACGTAGGAGGAACAGCCACGGCTCTGCTACTGCAGCGAACCTGCCAGCTCCGGTTGGCTCCAAGATCGGCCCCCAGAGAAGCAGCAAGAATGCCCAGAAGCTCAAGCTCCTCCCCACGCCAGAACCGGGCGAGGAGAGCCCCGACGAGGAGAGCGGGCGAGACGTCTATTCGCAGTATACACGCATCAAAGACCCGACGGCGAGACGGCACGCCGCGAGGTTAGGAAAATCGGATCGGGACAAGTTGCCACGCGTCACAGCATATTGTACAGCGAACCGCTACGACATGGAATCTCTCAAGCGGTTTCTCAAGGGGAGGGGTAAATTGAGAGGCGCGAACCCCAAGCTTTTCGACGAGTGCATCTACACGCCCTACAGCTACGAGAAGAGCGTCGAGGACAGGCCGGACCACGCCACTGGCGGCGGCCGGCCGGATCCTGTCCAAACCTACGAAAGGAGACACTCGACTGGTGAATACCCGACAGACTTGTCCCGCAGCGACCTGATCGACCTGCAGTCCGAAAACCGACAAGACTCCGGCTTTTCCGACGGGTTTCATCACGACGGCGCCCGAGATGTGGACGTGGATCGCGAAGAGGGTCCCGATTTCGACACCTACATCCACACCCCGGAAGTGTTCCTCTTCGACTACGGCGTTGTCGTCATCTGGGGTATGAGCATTCCGCAGGAACAACGGTTTCTCAGGGAGATTGCCAAATTTGAGGCCGAGAAGCTCGCCCCGGATGATGTCGAGACAGAGTTCTTCAACTTCTACTATACGAGGGATTATCAACCCCGCATATACAACGACTTTATCACGCTACGCGACAAAAACAACTACATGACAAAACTGGCCATTTCTCACGCCCTCGCCCAGAGCGTCAAGGTACGTACGCATCATTACCCCCCCTTCCGTTCCTCGATAGAAATCGAACCGGCGAATAGCTGATAGCGCTTTTAGACCTCCCTCTTTGAAGAACTCATAGCTTCTACCATTGAAGAATGCAAAGACATCCCGACGAATATCGCTCTCACGGGGAAAATCGCCCTCAGCCGGAAGCAGATCAACATGCAGATCGGCGAACTCTTCATTCTCCGTATCAACATCCATCTGAACGGTTCGGTTCTCGACACCCCCGAGTTCTTCTGGGTTGAACCCCAGCTCGAGCCCGTGTACGATGCCGTCCGCAGCTACCTTGAGATGGACCAACGCGTCCACCTCCTGACGGAACGTCTCGATGTTATCGGCGACTTGCTGGCTGTACTCAAGGAGCAACTGAGCCACGGCCACGGCGAAAAGTTGGAGTGGATTGGTATGTCTTGATTTATCCCTAAGAATGACAGGACCACGCTGACTTGGCTTCCTCTCCAGTCATCGTCCTCATTGCTGCAGAGATACTTGTCGCCGCCATTAATATCGTTGTGGACATGTATGTTGGGGAATGATACCTTCGGAGATTTTTTATTTGGGGGGAGGGGGAGGGTTCATTTCCTGAAGTGACGTGTCGCTACCCATCGGCCTATCTCACCGAAAGCAGACAACAGGCACGTTTGGTCTTTCCTTGAATATGTGTTACAAAACGGTATGGGATGGCGGGAAAGCATGCTTTGCCCTAGGGTTTTTTCCCTTCCTTTTTTTCTTCCTTTTTTTCTTCTTTTTCTGTTTACAGTAGATAGCTTCGCTTCACGGCGCTGGAGCAATATAGAGAAATACTTCGACACCCAAGGAATCGTGATATGCCGATGTAAGACCTTCGCCTTCACTTCTCGTAGGACGTCTCCTGAATAATACGATATGCTGGTACACAACCAGTCGCTTCCATTTCCGTAATACCTGTGCAGTGCATATGGTATAGCAGTTGATGTTAGAAATACAAAACCTTGGGCTAACGTGGCGGCTTTTCCTCCTCTCCACTAGCCCGAGATTCTCTCCTGTTCGCATCCTGAACGCCAATTCGTTCTATCCGATGTTCTCATTCCCTGTCACCGGTGCCATTATCACTCCTCCTCATTCTCCCCGGAAGGCTTGTCCTTAGTCTCGCCCTCGCCCTCGCCCTCGCCCTCGCCATCATTATCATCCATTGTCATTTCCACATCCTCATCCTGCGCGGCTGGGGTAGCATTGTCGTCAGCGGCCGATCCAGACTTGGCTTTATCCGCTGCTGCGTCAGGCCCTTCACCCGTCTTCACATCGTCTTCCACATCTTTCATGGTCTCCTCGGGGGCGGCGGCCGGCGACTTGACATCTTTCTTGTCGTTGTTTCCACCGTCAGATGCGCGCTCTGCTTCAGCATCACCTTCATGTTCGTCCTTTTCCTCCTGCGCCGGCGCCGGGGCCTTCTTGGTCTTCTTCTTAGCCGCGTCGTGAGCCTCTTTGTCTTTCTTATACTGAGCCATGGCCTCATCATGGCGCGTCTCGAAGGGCTTTTTCTCGCTCTCGGGCAAGTCGTCCCAGTTGCGGGCTAGCTCCTCGTCGACCGACAACTCGGCCTCACCGCCCTTCTCGTTTTCGTCCTTCTCGTCGCGCTTCTTGAGCATTGCGGGGCGAGCCTCTTCACAATACATCTCGAATGCGCTGGGTGGTTGTTTGGGTGCCTTGGGCAAGCCGTTCGTGGCGCGGCGAGAGGCGGGAGCGGCAGACGAGTCGGCTACGGTCTGGGAGAAGGTCTCCGAGGTGGGGGATAAGGTGGCCAGGTTTTGGCTGATGAAAGGGGAGGCGTCGCCGGCCTTAGCGGCGTCATCAGCGCTGGGTAGCAGAGAGGTTTTCCGGTGACCACGCTTGGTACGCAATGGTTTTTCTTTCGGCTAGGGTCGGGGTTCAATCAAGTTAGTAACAGCAACCAGGGGGGATGGATGCACAGGGCCGGCTCTTCTTTAGCCCAGGTTTGCCTCTTACAGTTGGCGGAGGAGACGGACTGCCTTCCGAGTCCTCGACGTTTGTGCTAGTGCGGCGACTCAGCTGCTCGAGTAGGAAGGCGCGTTCGACGCGTGCCTTTTCGATCTGGCGCTTCCGACGCGCGAGGCGGAGGCGGGTCGCATCATTCTCCTCTTCGACTTCATTGATGCGCTGCTTCAACTGGATGCACTTTCTTCGGTACGCTTCCTCGACAGATGGGGGCAGGGGCGGCGGAATGCCTGTCAGGTCGATATCCGGGTCAGCTTGAGGTTTTTTCTCTTTAGGCTTTACGACCTTCTTGGGAGGCATTTTGGTGGTCGATCAGGGTGGCCGAAAAGAAGACGAAAGGTGATGAGGAATCGTAGGATCGGTAGGGGAAGACGAGTTAAAACATGCGCCGGTCTTTTTGTGTGTCGAGAGACGGGGATTACAAGAATCGGCAATGCGTATATGGTTATAATAGACGGGTAAAAAGGTTTTTGGAGCTGAGGTTGAGTGGAAGGTGCAAACGACCGACTAGACTGGTATATCCATGAAGGATGATAGACAGTATAAGGTTGGTAGGTACCGTAGGTAAGGTACCATAAGGTAGGTATGTCCCAAGTAGTACTCCGTACTCCATACCTCACCTTAGATGTGGAACTACGCCGGACTCTGTATTGGAAAGCGCAAACTCACCCTTCGAATGCGGAGCCATGGCAAGGGATTGTATGTGTCGAGTACATACGACAGTCGGTGTCCTCTACTAGATGTGGAGTATCCGAGACATAAGCTCTAAAAGGTGATGTAGTGCTCAATGGCATGAAAACGAAAGATGGGATGGGGGAAGCAATGATCCTACGGATAATGTGTTTGGGAGCAAGCTACATTTAATCAATAAGGTAGCTGGAGGTTTGAAGCGAAGTCTGCAAGAGCCCATGGTGATAGCACGCCAAGTTGAATCGAACCGCCTGGCACGACTTCTGAGTCCAATTGAGCATACAACCAACGTAAGGTTCCGTATGCGTCCTAATAATTACCTTAAAAACTTCGTACCGTTGGCTCGGCAAGTGACAGGTGAACCGGGTACCTCGTCGAGGAATAAAAGTCCAGGAAAAGTACCTTGTACTTTGTAAATAAATGGGAAATACGCGTACCTAAGGTTGAGAGCCTTACTCAGCATGGGAGCCTACCCACTTGCCTCTCCGGGACAGTAGGTAAGGAGGTGCTGCCATTTTTTTCGTGATTATATGATAAACTGCGATAACCTCATGCTTCTGTTGTTACCCTACCTAGTGAGCCAGGAGACAGAGACTACGGATACAAGCCTCCCCAACGTGAACCCCGAAGCTCAAGACGACACAACGCTCCCTCCCCTTTCCACATTTCCGTGAACTGCGAGTGTATATGCTGGAAATATGTCGTTGAACATTCCCAACGCCCCTAATTCGGGCCTGTTCAAGCAGGGATACAACAAGTCGGTATCCCCCCTCTCTTCTGATATACCAACCTTCCTCTCCAAGCTCTCACTCTACAAACCTCCCCCCCCCAGCCCATATACTGACATTTGAGGGTTCTGCCCTCCTATAGTTACGATTCTGAGGATGGCGCTGTCCTACGTAATATCGACGCCTGCCGGGCCATCTCGTCGACCGTCCAGACCTCTCTTGGCCCGTTTGGCCGCAACAAGATCGTCATCAACCACCTACAAAAGATGACGTTGACCTCCGATGCCGCCACTATCCTGCGAGAACTCGACGTCGTCCACCCTGCCGCCAAGCTCCTCGTCATGGCCAGCCAGCAACAAGAGGCCGAGATGGGCGATGCTACCAACCTAGTTATCGTCCTGGCCGGCGAGCTCCTGCGCAAGGCCGAAGACCTTCTACGCATGGGCCTCAAGACGTCCGACATCGTCATCGGGTACGAGAAGGCGCAGAAGATGGCCCTCGACGCCCTCGAGGAGCTCTCGGTCGACAAGGTCGACGACATCCACTCGCAGGAAGAGCTGAGCAAGGCCATCCGCACCGTCGTCGGGAGCAAACAGAACGGCAGTGAGGACTTCCTCGCCGACCTCGTCGCCGAGGCCGTCCTGGCCGTCCTTCCCAAGAACCCGGCCGGCTTCAACGTGGACAACATCCGCGTCGTCAAGATCATGGGCGGCAGCCTGGAGCAGAGCAGGGTGGTCCGCGGCATGGTCTTCCCCAAGGAGCCCGACGGCACCGTCAAGAAGGCCCGCCGCGCCAAGGTGGGCGTCTTCTCCTGCCCCATCGACATGGGCCAGACCGAGACCAAGGGCACCGTCCTGCTGCACAACGCCCAGGAGATGATGGACTTCACCAAGGGCGAGGAGAACCAGCTCGAGACCGCCATCAAGGAGCTGCACGACGTCGGCCTGCGCGTCGTCATCGCCGGCTCCACCGTCGGCGACCTGGCCATGCACTACCTCAACCGCTACGGCATCCTCCTGATCAAGATCCTCAGCAAGTTCGAGCTCCGGAGAATATGCCGCGTCGTCGGCGCCACGCCCCTGGCCCGGTTAGGCGCCCCCATGCCCGACGAGATGGGCTCCATCGACGTGGTCGAGACCCTCGAGATTGGCGGCGACCGCGTCACCGTCTTCCGGCAAGAGAACGACGTGACCAGGACGGCGACCTTGGTGCTGCGCGGCGCCACCCAGAACCACCTCGACGATGTCGAGCGAGCGGTGGACGACGGCGTCAATGTCGTCAAGGCCATCACCAAGGACCCCAGGCTCGTGCCCGGCGCCGGCGCCACCGAGACACAGCTCGTCGAAAGGCTCACGGATCTGGGCGAAAAGACGCCTGGTCTTGCCCAGTACGCCATCAAAAAGTACGGCGAGGCCTTTGAGGTGGTTCCCAGGACGCTGGCCGACAGTGCCGGTCTGGATGCCACCGAGGTCCTCAGCAGGCTGTACATGGCGCACCACAAGCAGGACGACTGGACGACAGGTGTCGATATTGAGGTGAGTTGTCGATAAGAAGATTCTCAAACGAACTGCATTGTCTTTTTTCTTTTTTAAATATATATATGAACCCCCCCCCCCACTACCGGACCCTGGCTAACTCTCTTCCCCAGAACGCGGATGGTACGGGTACACTAGACGCTCGGGAGGAAGGCATCCTTGATCTCTTGGCCTCCAAGAGCTGGGCCATCAAGCTAGCCACCGAGGCTGCGCGGACCATTCTATCTGTCGATCAGATCATCGTTGCTCGGCAAGCGGGTGGTCCTAAGCCCCCCGGTCCTAACCCTGTAAGTTCTCTCCCTCGCCTGTGATCATGATTCAAAAGAGAGGCTTTTGCTAACCGTGTTCTGTCCTCTGCCAAGAACTGGGATGAGGACTAAATAAAAATACATTGGCAATTCATGGGATCGCCTCTGGCTGCAACAAAAAAGAACCGCGCGAGCATGATGGATGGGGTAGAACAGGGCATGTCTTACATAGATTGCCATAATCGAGGTGAATGAAACCCATGATGAGCCGCCCGACTGGGTTGAGAACGTGTGTCCAAGACGCCCACGTTCACAGTGTAGATTTGTCTTTCGCCTTCCAACTTTCTGTCTCTTCCTTACATTGTCTTCCATTGACTGCGCTTGAAGGATGCGATGGGCATGGCCACAGGCAGTCGAATATGCTCGAGGAGTCACTTCTAGGCATCATCGCCTATGGAGAGCATTGTCTAGCTGGGTGCCTGCCTGACAGGAGTGGAAAGCTCTCTCATCATGTTTATATCCCACACAGAATGCATCGAGAAATGAAATCGACTTGGATCAAAATACCAAAATTTGGGCATTCTTGCGCACTGCCATGTAGGAAAAACCATGGCAAGCTCCTTTACTATTTACCCCCCCAAAAATCCTCTCCATTTCATGGAAACTTCTCTTCCTCATCTCCACCGCCTTTCCACCCACGCCCTGCCTAACCCAGCAACCCTCCAATGCAAAGAGAGTCAGGCCTTTTTCACGCATAACAACCTCGGCAAGACACATAACTGGGAAACATGTACATAGGTCAACATATACATGATGGTCATGGCGTAAATGAGACAAAGAAAATTGTTCATGGAAGAAAAGAAGAGCAAGAAGAAAAGAAATAAGAAATAAAGGACGAGAATAATAAAAATAAAAAACGCCAACTGCGTGGTATCTTCCCTTTAGGCGCATCACAAAGCAGCCAGTAGGACAGAGTCTAGCGCAACTGCGACAGAGACCTTTCGAAATAAAAGGCAAACGAAGAGGTATCAGGGCAAGAAACAAGTCGAGCCTAAGAATGCGGTAAGGGGTATGTATGATAAGACGAACTTGAGCGATGGTAGTGAACAGGCCGAATATGCATCGACTATAAAGAACAAAGCAGCCTTTAGGGAAGGGGCAGATCCCAGTGCGCCGCCATCGCTGAACTGATGTGGCCGGGCTGGTTGTTCCCGTATATAGGCAGGTATTCCACATGTGCCAAGTAATATCGAGAAGAAGAAGAAGAAGAAAAAGGTATATCGACGGGTCTGCTGTCCAACATAAAACAGAGACCCAAGTCAGGTCAGGCCAGAGAAGACGCTCACGCTTCTTCCATGATGCCGCCTTCGCCCCCGCCCTCGTCTCTCCACTCGCGACTCCTTTCCGTCAGTCGCTTGGCGCCACTAACGCGACTCGCCCAGATGGATTCGATGGGCGTCCGGAAGGTGAAGGCACGCTGGGAACTGATGACGCCAATGGCTTGGAGGACAGCTTTTCGACTGTCCCGCCCAAAGACCGCAGGGTGATTGATCCACTCGAGGCTATTTTCGAGCTCGTTGTCGAGCGCCGAAACCGTGCTTGCGTCGATGCCAGAGCACAGGCCGAGGCCGTCAGTTGAGCGGGTGCGCCCAATGCCAGGGGCCGGGAAGCGATCCATGGCAGATGAATGTACCGACTGCGTAGGCGAGGGCGAGTGCTTCCTGTCAGGCGTACCGGAAGCCGATGAGCTCTCGTTGCCCGGGTGTGGCGTTGAGGGTTGAGATCTCGAGCCAGGCATTGGAGGGACGGGCGGTAAACCCCCCTTGCCGAGCCCCTTGAGGATCGATCGCGTCTCGTTGAGAAGGGTGTGCGCTCGGTCATGCTGACCTCGTGACACGAGGGTCAATGCCCGGGTGAGCATGTCCGACGTCAGAAGCTCCATCCGGCGCTGCACGATGCTCGGGTGGGGTGGGATGGGGGGTGAACCTGTCCACGAGTTCTTCTGCTTCGACGACTGCGCGGGTAGCATTGTGATGGCCAGCAGCGTCGGTCGCGGCAGATGGGAAAGAGTTCCGTCCCTCAGTATATCTCCCCAAGCCAGGTCGGCCTGGATTAGAGGCACTTCCTCAACCGAAGCGACCCTCTGCTCGTCTCCCTCCATTGACCCACCCAGAGCCTCGAGACCGGAGACAATGTTGTCCCAGGGGTCCTGCGGAAGCTGCTCCTGGGATGCGTTATCGGGCACGATGACCAGTTGGACGAGAATATCACGCTTGTCCCCAAACCGGAGATCACCAAGAGAAGCCTCGGCGTCCCGGCCTGTGGCTCGCTTCGTGATTTGGAGGGCACCACTGATCTTATGGAACTTGGCAGGGGACCCTTCGGGCAGCTTGAGTTTGAGCTTGACGTTCTGATGAGATAACGACTGCATGGCCCCGAGGCAGCCGGCGAGGCATTCCCGAAGCATCATCCAATCTTTGACGTAGGTGTAGGAAGCCTTGGTCCGTGTTGACAGTTCGATCATGGTGTCTGGTTTATGGGTCATTCCTAATCCGAACGAGTGGATCGTGATCCTTGCAGTGAAGTGAATGGTCAGCAAGCATGAATCGGATCCGAGAGAAGAACCCTGGCCTCGCCGTTTTGACTTACTTGGCAGCTTCAGCTCTCGACACCACAAAGTCGACGCTGTCGGCGTCGGAGGTTGAGGCATCGCTGATAAGCATGATGGTCGCAATGGCGTTGTTGTACTTGCGTTGCATGAGCAGGTCCATGGCCACATTGGCACCCTCTACCACGTCGGCCCTGTGACTCTTCTGGCCGATCGGCTTGATCGAAGACAAGATATTGCTCCAGCCCGGCCAAGCTTTGGTGGTCATGCCAACCAGAGGCACACCGCCGCCTCCAGACCCGAAGGTCACTAGACCCATGCGGTCTCGGTCGCCCAGAGTGTGAATCATGAACCTCAGAGCATCGCGAACGAGGTTAATCTTGACTCCTTGCATCGAGGACGAAATCGGCACAACCACGACCACGTCTATGGGAACATGGATTGTTGAAGGGATGCTCTTTTGCAACGTCGTGTACTCGGTCGGCGCAGTGTTGACCGACCTGGCGCCACCCCAAGACGACGTTGCTGACGATGACACTCGTTGGGGGCGTGCCCGTTGCCATTCTTCCTCTTCTGTTTCGGAGTACTCGCCACGGTCGTACTCCGGACTCCGAACAGGCGGCGTCTCCACGGCGTTCAAGTCGAGCAGTGCTTGTTGCCAGAGTTTCAACTGGTTCCGATTTTCGAATCGCAAATGGAACTGGGGGAGCTCGGCAACAGACAGGCTGAGGGTGAGAATGTTCTCGTCAACTGTGGGCGGTCAGCAATTTATCCCTTCTACACATGATTGGCGGGAACAGTGCAGGACTCACTGTTTCCCGTCTCGGAAACCTCGTTCAGATGCTTCTTGATGAGGATAGAGCCTTTGAGGGTACATCGCGTCGCCTTCTTCGGCTGCCCGTTCTCGTCCCACTGATTGGCATGCTGTGCGATCCTTTTCTCCTTTACACAAATGAGCATCTCGGCGAATAGGAAGCACTCGAGTTCCTGCCAGGAGACCTTGTCCTTGCCAACTCTCAGCGTGCCGTACAGTCGTAGTTTGCCAAACCTGTGTCGGCTGTTAGCATACTCTGCTAGGTGCGAGAAAGGCGAGTGTCCTTCCCCGCATTGGCGGGTCTACTACGTACTTTCCGAGGTCAAGGCCGTGCCAGTTGTCGACTCGGTTTCTCAAGTTCTCCGTGATCTCTTCCAAAACCTCAGCTGACTCGTATGGATAAAAACGCGGTGCACTCCGGGCGGGAGACGGTGGCCGTGCGAAGGTGTCTTCGATCTTTGCCGAGATTGGGGGGATGGGAGGCGCGGCGCCTAGGTCTTCTGGATCCGGCCTCCACTTGGTATCGGGAACTTCCACGGTGACCAGGCAGGTCAACGTTTGCTGTTGCCTCGATCTATTGATGGTTGGGAACTCGGAGCGCACTGTCACGGTGGGAGTTGGAATCGGGTTCCGGGTGATTCCCCGAGGGCTAGCCGGGGTCGTTTCCATGGCTTGGACGTCGAAATCGTGGCGCCGGGGCGCCTGTCCATTCTGGGTGTGCGCCGTTTCCGGGTATCCCCCAGAAGAAGCAACGCCGGTCGTTTCGCTGTCGCTGCGAGCATGTCTTGTCGATGGCCCGTAACGTCCGGACGAAGGTCCGTCTCGGTCCCTGGCGCTTCCCCGTGCCGCACCATCCCTCCCGTGAACCGAGGCCTGTCGTTGGCTCGACTCCGTTTGGGCATCCCAGTGTGGCGTTGGTGTCGGCGTCGGTGTGTGATTCGACCTCGTATCACTGACAGACGCCGATCGCACCAGATGGCTAATCTTCTCTGAATCGAGACAAACGAGACATTAGTACTTTCTTTCCAGCCCTGGGCCGAGGTAGGAGCTCAAGGACTCACCGATATCCAAAACATTACCACCACGGCTCGTATCTAGATGTAGTGGCGCATTGCATGTCGGGCAGTATTGGGATTCAAACTCCCGGATAAACTCATAGAAACACGCCTCATGAGAAACATGGGAACATGAGAATTGTAGAATCCGTTCACCCCGGAGAGTATGTTCGAGGGGTTCTTCACAAACGGCGCATTCGCTCCCCACAAAAGTCCGTTCGCGTCGATTTCCCCTCCTGTCGGTGTTGGTTGTCATGGTGGCGGCGGTGCGAATGGTGTGTGATGTGCTTTCGGAAGATCGCCCCGAGCTGATAGAAGCGTTGGAACGGTGGGCAGGTCCACGAAAAGTGCCGGTAGCTATCGATTTGGCTAAATGGCGGGATGGAATCGTCAGCATCCGCGTAGTGAGCGCAAGACGGGAACCGCCAAAGCGGGAGACATATATGTGGAAAGACGAGCCGTGACAATCACCGCGCTGCCACAGATCGAGTCATGAAACATTCACTCACCCTTTTCAATTGATACTGAACCATCCAGTTCGTAGTGGTTGGCCCCTGTCGCAGAGTACTTGGGTAACTTGGGACTGGCACGCCCCAAGGGGTCAAGCAAACCGAAATGAGCGTCCCTCCTAAGCCCAGGGGAATCAGCGTAGGCAGCAGCGCTGGCACTTCCGTAACCCTTCGGTCCCTTCCGCGATCGACTAAACATGAGGCGCTGCCAGCCAACGAGGGTTAGTCGTAGATGGCGATGCTGAAATCAGTTACCACGCCAACAATGAAGTCTTTTGAGCGGATGCAACAACCCTCGGATTGCCGACAAAGACGTTTTCAAGAGATGTTGAAACAGGAGGACTCTTCAAGACTGCAGCTCCAGATACATCAAGGGTTTGTAAACAGTTGCGGAGATGCCGGTGCTCTTGGTGACTTTCTGGAGGAATGGCTGATTGATTGGTTTGATTGTTAGGAAGAAAGGACGCAGAATGGTGATGAGTGTTAATTGTGTTCTCGCGTTGCTGTCGGTGAGTGGAACGAAGCACCTAGCAAATGGTGACAAGGTTATGTCCCTGTCCGGAAGTATCCAAATTTGCTGTGAATCTGCAAAGGCTCGGCAGGCTTTAATAAGGCATGGTTGCAAGTCGTTTCTGTCCCAATCGTGGAGTCCGGGAGTCAACTTTCTTCTGTCTGGAAGAATGGCGTGAAAGACGGCGCGGGGTACCAGGAGTTCAGAATGGTCAGGCTGGGTAGGGGAGGGCAGAAATGCTCTGAAGGAACTGCGATAATAAAACCACGGAGACGGAAACGAGTCGGACAGCGGGTTCGCCTGGAAAGTGGGGTTTGTTTCGGTCCTGGTCCTGTCGCGAGGGCTCGCTGATGTGTAGCACCCTCTGCGTCGTGTGGATGACTGAGACGGTGTGGTGAAGTAAGTAGATGACAGCCCTGAAAGAGGCACCTCCTAGTCAGAGATGGCGATGCCCCGTCCCGTCCTGGTTCTTTCTGTCCAGCCCGTTTTTGTCCCGTCCTGTATTGTCCTCCGGGAGTGAACCCTGCGTCGAGGATCTGAGACCTTTGGAGCGGCAATCCCGAGATGGTGGTGTTCTGCGCTTCCGGGTCTTTTTTTGTTCCTTGACGGGGTCGAAACGTGGTCGAAAAAGGAGCAGCTGAAAGGGGTTCGGCAATGAATTGCTGGACAGGGAAGGGCAAATAGGGGGTAGTGTGTGAAGAGCGTAGAAACCCGCTGCTAGCGAAAGCCGAAGAGTTATGGGAAAGAAGGAGGGGGGAACCTTCTTGGGCAACACTAAGGTAGCTGGGATGGAAAGAGAGATTGGTCGGGGGTGTGGACTTTTTCGGGGGTCGGACGAGAAGGCACGTTCGTAACGAATGGTCGGTACCCGTGAGGCACCACGCACGTCCCCCAGCAGCCGGTAACTGTGGGTCAGGAGCATCAACGTCGGTACTGTGCCTGGGCTGGGGCCCCTTGCCCTCGCTCCATGGTTCTTGAGTAAGGTACTCATGGTTCTCAGGATAGGTACTTCGTAGTAATTTCAAACCATGGCGACATGGATTGGACGGGTTGAGGGGAGTGGGGTACTTTCACTATGACATGCGAAGTACCTCTGTACTTGTTAGGTACAAGTATGTATCTGGGTACCTAGCCGCCGGTGGAGACTCCCGGGGAGAACGTTACTGGAGATTCCCTTTGACGGAGGGTACACTTAGACCCGACCCGGCTCTTCCTTAATAAGCGACCCACGGCAGAGACATGCGCACATGTATGTTCCTAGGTACTTATACATAAATAAGTTCTTATCGGTTTAGGGAGGGGCCGGGATACAGTGGAACCTTAAATTCGTACTTCGTTTAACTTACCTTAGACTAGCAGGAAGGAGTAGGTATAGTTGTAGGCGTTTCTGCTATGTAAAGTGGAGCACGTACGTTGTACTTATTATAGGCCGACTACCTTACTGGTGCTTAGCTGGCTGTACGATGTATTCCTCTTAATTCGACTGTCCAGCACCTTAGCAGAGAAGCGGGGAAAATAAAAAGAAAAGATAAAGAAAAAAAGGAAAGAAAAAAACCCCCGACATTGCTGATCTACGTTTGTACCTATCACTACGACAGGTATTGGGCATGTATATGGCACGGACCTTCCACGGACCCTGTCCGATTAGTGGATATGGCTTTCCGTTAACTGGCTGGGAAGACGCGGGTCGAGAGGGAAACAGAAGCGAACTATGGGGTAGTTACCTAAGGTACACGTACTACTTTAAGACTGGGGCCAGGTGATCGAAGATGAGCCGACGATGTAGGGATGCACTACGAAGAAGAAAATGAAGAAAGTGTACAGGGCGCATGGCGCATGGGCTTGCGCTAGCGGGTGACCTAGGCCATGTCTCTCCTAGAATCGCTTGGCGAAGAGGGGCTAATAACGAGCCGGTGGAAACGTCGAAGGGTGTTAAAAAACGTGTTTCTGAAGATAAGCTCGAAATCTTCAGGCCACTAGGTAGGTAGTCTGTACCTATCCGTAAGTATTCAGTACCGGTACATAGGATGTTCAACAGTTTGTATTTCTTACTGCTCGTCGATCAATGACAGAATATTGCTCCCAGTATGGGGCTCTGGCAAAAGGATCGAGGAGAATAGGGGCTATGCGGAATTGATAAGTCACTGCCTACCTACTGTCCAAGTACCCTATAGGACCTCCTACCTTAAAACATAAAGGAAGAAGAAGTAGGCTAAAGTAAGTCTCTCTTGACGGTAACTTTTCATACTTGGTGCGAAGTGCGACAGGACCGAATAGGTTTTCCTGCGGGTTGTCATTGTTACCTTTAGTTTCTCTGCGGCGGGCGGTAAAAGAAGGAAAGGGTTTGACAATGGAGAGCCCCGATAGTATGGTTGCGGAACAAAGCCGAGCCTTGCCGTCGGAATGTCTTGCCCTCGTCCGTTTCTTGGAACATTCCATGGATGCCCTCTCATCTATGCACGATAGATGAAGCCAGTGCATGCTTTTTGCTTTGACACGTACGTTGTATAGCATAAGCCGAGTGTACACGCAAGTAATACTCCTTTAGGAGGCTAAGATACTGCGTGGGTCTAACTATGTGCTCCGTAAAGACCTCGACTTCTGTATGGAGTATACGTGCAGCATCTATGCCCTCCAGCTCCTTATTGAACCTGGATAGCTTTAAATACTTCGTACAAACGCCGTGGGAAAAGCCTGAAGGGCTAGATGGCGACTTATATATGGGGGCACCCCTAACGCATTCTCAGGGGGAGGACTCGGGGAATATGGAACGACAAGGGCTCCTGCCTAGTTAGTCGAGCTCCCTAGATCCCGGATATTAAGACTAAGGTAGTAGCTATTATTGCTATTTCGTAATTATCTATGTACTCTATACCTACCCGGGTAGGGGTGGGTATAGGTCAGAGCTCGAACAGAGAATTTTGCACTGACCAGAGCCAGGACAGAGATATCGCTGTCAACATAATGTTCTAAGACTTCGGACATCTGACCAGTCCATCGAGCTCTGACCTATAACCAGCCAAACCCGGGTAGGTACATATGTACTATGAGTACGAAGCGTACTCTTTCACCCCTCTTCCCGTCGTCTCTCCCTTCCTCCGAGCTGAATACTGCGAAGACAGAGACGAAAAATGATAGTGAGACTGGAGTACTCGTGAGAATGGAACCAAAAGCCAGGCTATACATATGTATGTAACCGTGCGCTTCAAGCTATGATAAAGCTATGTAACTCTTATCCACCTCACAAGCTAGTCGCTGTCAAAATACCACAGTGTGAGAGAGGCGCTGATCCGTGCGAGACTAGACCTCTTCGATTTGCTCTCACTACACGTGTACCGTAGAACGAAAACTGCCAGAAATTTCGATAATAGATCTGCGAACTAATACTATAAGCACGTTGTACGTTGTATTCGTAGTATCTTTGGCTGGTATGTCAGGGGCTGGGCACCTGTGTACAACGTATCTCGATGCAGCTTTGGAAGAGGTTGGTGAAGAACGGCCCAGTTCTCCATTCGGGACGGTCAGTGCCGAGCCTACCAGTCTTGTTTCGACAAGACCAGGGGGCGCACAAAGCCAGCTAGGAATGGCTAGGGGCCCCCGCTATGGGCAAGGATGTCAGGGGAGTCCGTAAGGGGGTGGCTGGCCGAGGCGGAAGGCAGCTCTCTCTGCCCCGGTAGTACATACATACAACGTACAACGTACACACAAATTTCAATGGGACCGTCGAAAAAACCTCGACTGATTACATTCATGCCCTTGGTCCTGCGACGGTCCTACGCCTCTTCTTTTCTCTGTTTCCATTCTTCTTTTGCACGCATTCCGTACATAATGCAGGGCAGTGGTGTCAGCGCGACGACGAGGCGCCCGCATGCAGTACGGGTAAGGAGGTATATGTACTGGCCACCCAAGGAATTTGGTAACATGTCGACTGCGCTTGCTTCCTGCTTTTGGTCAAGGTCACATTGAAGGAATCGATTAGAAAAGTGTATGCGACGCCGAGAGCGTACATCGATTGCTACGACGAAAAGGAGACCAGTCAGCAGTGCCGAGTCATCCTAAGGAGGCGTTTCCCTGTGTATTGAGTTGCAATGGGATATTTCTCTACAACGTACATGAGCAGTCTGGTTATGGGAGGCAAATCAGAATTTCATCGCAGGAGATTTTGTGGGTGTGCTGGCTTCCGTCGTCCGGCTCGGCTCTGCTCCTGCTGCATAATACCCTAAGATCCTAACCAGATCCACAACGATTCGGGGTGGTGCCTCATAACACATGCAACTGAGCAGTCGGCCTTCTTGATGGGTAGTAGACCGTGGGGGTGGCACACGGCAACACCGACTGGCAGATGACGATTTGGTGTTACACGTCCATGATGGCGTCCTATCTTGGTGCGGTGTGGCACGCAATCATACGTCGAGGGAGACGTACGAAGTAGTCGGTGACAACACTAGAAAGGTTGATGTAAGACTCAAGGCACGGGGAGGGCGGGTGTCCAGCGACGTTTCGCTGAACCCGGATACGCGCGTGTCACCAAGTCGGACACCACATCTGTTCAGTGCTGGGATTCTAGAGAACGCATACCGTCATCGGGTTGCGCCGTCCTCTTCCTTCACTCACATTTAAAGGGTCGTCTAGTTGGCGCGCTGGTAGTTCAGTCGCAAGGAATGTGCTGCGTCACGACTAGTCGTCCCCAAGAAACCGACAAAGGCGCAGGAGGCGCATCGGGAAGATCTGGATTACAGATCTCGTAGGTAGGATTGATGACGCGCATGAAGGATCAAGGGGAGGAAGATGGGAGCCAACAGGATCATCTCGTGCACGAGGAACTTGCCACGCAGTGCAAACCTGATGAGGAGCAGCACCCATATTACGATGCATCCGTACGAAGTAGCAGATGCAAGTTGGTAAGTAATTAATTAAAAGGCGAACAACCTGTTCCGCCTCTGGGCAGGAGATCCCGCTCGGAAGAGACCGAAAACGTGTCAGACCCCTGTCCCGCTTCTAAGGTACTTCGTACAGAGTAAAAGGCCTACGAACCTATCAAGTGCCTCTGTTGGCCCCCTGCCGTCTCCGAGACTATCGGGAAGTGGGAAGTACAGCTCGTAGACGGAAATATGTACGCTGACTTCGCAGTCCGCGTGCCGTGGTAGACTGAAGATTTCGCTGGATAAGGTATGTTCAATTGAGATACGTTGTACATGTACATATACAAAAACATATAGATGTGCAGTGTAACTGGAAGGGATGTCAAAAGATAGACGCGGCATAGCCTACGGAAACCTACTGTTTGTCAATTCCCGTATGTATGCCTTTCGGATGCGAAATATGCGATGGATACAACGGTATATCGCCAGGCTTGGAGCATTTTGCATTAATAACATCTGTACGAATGGAGATGGCATAATACCGCAGGCATCCGTTCGTGTAACGCCCCGTGGGCATGGATTGATGTCGAATAGCAGAATAGGTATGGGCGACCCAAACTCGAACTTCAATATAACCACGGGCACCAATGTTCACTTCAGGAATAACCTACTCCTTCGTACGAAGTAAGTATGCATTTCGTAATTACTACCGACCTCATTCTTCCGAGTAACTGAGCTAGCTAAAGGGAATGCGGGAAAAGCACCGTCGGAGACTATGACTCGCTGACCGTCTGTCTTCTATCCGACAGGGCGTCCCCTGCAGCACGAACCGGCAAGTGCTCCTGTTCTTGGATAGGTAGGTAGCTTTGATTCTTTGTACTTCTTCGTACATCCTACATACATAGGCACTACCTGGGGCGGGTGTCCGTAATTAAACACACAATAATTATCCGTACTTGGTGGGCAAAGTCCCCAAGTCGGCACTGAGAAGTGCCTGGACTTGAGTGGCGTAGAAAGAGGCTTTACTTATCCATACATCGTAACCCAAATGAAAAGAAGGTGGGCAGAAGACGCAACAATACGCGAGCCGTTTGTAAGAACCTGCCCTTCTCGCTTGTCTCAGGTCGAGAAGAAGAAGAAGAAAAAACGTGATTCCTGCGTAGTGGTAATGCCAAGCTGGTTAGTTGGGGTTCGTCTGTCAATAGACTCTGGTCGATCTGATCGGCTAGCCAGTATTTGGGTGAGGTCTATGTGTTGGACAGGGTTCCCCTCTGTTCGATACGCAGACTAAGGTGTTCCCCAGCTTTTCAATCTCGTCAGTTTGTCTCAGTACACTAGAAGGTCAACTTTGACCGAAGGTAAGGTCAATGGCAGGACAGGTACTCGTAGAGGTTGGGCAATATCCTGCAATGCGTACTCCGTCAGGCGTAGGTCGGTACCTGGAATAGATAGTAAGTAGTGAAATTGTCATATGACGGCAGTACGGATATAGATCAAGGATCACATCACTCTTTTCCGCATTCCTTGCATCATTCCAGGTTGTGGACTCGCTGAGACGAACGATCAATGTCATAGGAGATTCGAGGTCAAAATGGGCTAGATCCGAAGCAACGGAAAATAATCGTCCCGGATCGGCAACGTCAACCCCAAGGCCTTCCAGCGTCATTGGAATGAACGCATGGCATCAAGGTAAACTACACTACAGACTATTTTCTTATAATACCTGGTACTCCGTGGCATTGCTTTTTCTTTATGTAATCCCGCACAAGGGGATGATTGCTTACAAGTACGGGGTTCGAGGAACCGCAAACTCGAGCCAGACAGCCCACCGCAGCGTCCAGTCTATCCCAAAGACCTCTGGCAAACATATCTAAGTAGGTATTACTCCAGGCTAGTGGCCGTAAACCTAGACATCAACGTCTCGGACAACTCACCATGCATTGTGTCGACTGAGAACTCGGGTGCGATGGTTAGGTAAGGTATCCATCTGTCTCTCAGCGTCAAGGTTTTCTCGGGGTCGGAAAAATAGGGTGAAGCATCCTGACTAGAACTACCAGATTTTCTGACTGGCGTCCAGACGCCGATAGCTGCCAGGACCAGATGATCAGTTCTGCAAAATTGATGGATGCATTTACTCCGTATATACCTACCCGGGTTTGGCTGGTTATAGGTCAGAGCTCGATAGACTGGTCAGATGTCGTAAGTCTTAGAACATTATGTTGACAGCGATATCTCTGTCCTGGCTCTGGTCAGTGTAAAATTCTCTGTTCGAGCTCTGACCTATACCCCCCCCCTAACCGGGTAGGTAATGGCCATAACTGAAACAACAATGTTTGGTAATCATGCGGATGATCCTTTTCATCGAGTCCTAAACTACTTTATTATGGCTATTGCTGCAGCTCTTAGTCGAGGGTAGCTTTTTTTCGTTTGCAGAGGCTGGAAGCGGCGTTGTTCACGTTTGATACCGCCATAGGTAAGGTAGAGCAGATATTAACACTACGATAACTTCTTTTTAGCTTTGTTATTTATGTTGAATTAACGGGAGCGTGCTTGTAGGGAGCGTTGATTCAGGAAATATATAATTATATTATATATAAAAGAGAAAGAAAAAGGGGGCGGGTATACGTGTCCTAAATATATCTACCACCTTCTAAGCGTGGATAATAAGGCACCTCTAACTAATAGGAGAGCACTATACCGTGGCTCACGTGATAGAATATAATATACCCCCGAATTATTACGCCGTGATTAGCGGAACGATTACTTAGCCTAACCTTAACCTAGCCTTATTTTTAACCTTAAAATAGCCTTAAAGGGTCGTATAATACCCTTAATATCGAGTTAAAAGGCAGGAATAAAAGCTATAAAATAGTAAAGAATATAATAATAGTAGTAAATAATAAAGGAAAAGTGCTATTAATAGTAATAGTAAATAGGTAATAGTAAGGCCTTTCGTAGATAAATTAAAGGCGTTATACCGGCGTTTTAGAGCTTTTGGATCCTCCCTCTTAGAACCTCTTATGCCGTTATTTTTTCGAGGATTTTAACGATCTTAAACTAATTTTTCTATAATTTTTCTATTAATAGTAATAAAAATAATAATAATAGCGATATAATAAGTATCGGAGCTTTATTTTTAGTAGCGCGTGCTAAGTAGTAGCGTTATTTAGGCTCCTCCTACTCTCTCGGCGGTTACTCGTGCGGCTACGGCGAAGAAGGCTTCGTCTAATAGCGTTAAGAAGAATAAGAATAAGGGTGCTAGTAAAAAGAGTGCTGCTATAAGTTATTTTAGCGCGTTTATTCTGGATCTAATTACTCTAGACCTTAGCTGATTCCTAATAGACTGCTAAGGGTAGTGGTAATAATAATAATAACGATACCGACGACGATTTTAATCTAGTCCTATTCAAACCGCCCTGTCTCGAATACGTAAAGGGTATTTATTCTGGAAAATAGCACTCCTTTAATTCCTATATTTCCGTTCCTAAGCGCTCTAATAGGTACTAAAAGTATAAGGATAAAAACTATATATACCACCCTCTATAAGTTCTTACCCCCTATCTAAGGCGCTTTACGATCGTACTCGTATACTTTATTTCGTATTAGCTCGAAGATATATACGCTATTAATCTTTACGACCGCTAACCTATACTTATAGTTTTTCTGGCCTTATCTTATTAGTTAAAATTCTATTCGACTATATTATAATCCGAAAAATCGATAAAGACTTAGAGGATAATAATTAGAAGGTGCGTTTATCGCTTTATTTCTAAGGATAAAAGCTCTAACTAACTAATCTCGCGTAGTTCTTCGCTAAGCTTAAATAAACGGTAAAGTTTATAATTAAGTTAATAAAGGATAAAGAAAATAAGAAGTTCTTTAAAGAGGCGGAGCTTAAAGGAGCTTCTAACCAGGGTCCTAGTACGCCGACCACTACCTCTACCTCCTAGCTTACAGGGGTTATAATAGATATTTTACGGGAAAACGGTTTTATTATTACTCCTCCGGCTAAAGGAAACGGCGTAAATATTACGCAGGACGGTGCTTAGGATAGCACTAATAAAGCTTAGTAAATTATCTAGTATACTCCTTTTTATATTTTATATTTTGCTTTTAGGTTTTGGCCTAGTGTTTTAGTATTATAATAATAAGATACCTTTTTTACTGAATTAATTATACCGCCGGTATACGGTACGCCTAAGGCGCAGGACTTTTAAACTTAACTGCTTCTTTCTACCCCCTCCGTGCACTAATTATATTAAGATATACTCGGAAGTTCTCGAATTTTTATCGTGGAAGTACTTTTATTAATCCGTCCGCTAGTATTAAATTCGTAGTAAGATATACGACTCTAAATAATCCTTTTACGTTCTCTTACCTTACCTAAAAACGCTATATATCTATATAATAAAGCCTAGTCTTAATCCTAAAGCTATTATCAACTATTAGGCGTATCGTTTACGTGTTATCGTAGTGGATATCCTAAAGAGATTCTGGATTAAAGCGTATTTTAACGAAAAGACGCTTTAAACCTATTATTTCCTTCGCCACTTACTCTAAAGCGAGTAGCTCTACTTCGGTTATAGACGTTATTACCGTTACTTACCTTATTACTTTCTATATAACTAATCCACTAAATAGGCTAATAAAGTAACCCTATAAAGATCTTCGTATATCTAAATCGTCTATAAAAAAGGCGTTATTTACGATAACTATCGCCTATAAACTAGTACTTAATCCGTACTAAATCGAGAGGTCCCTTATTATAAATAAATAGCGGATAGCTTAGTCTACCGCCTTATAGTGGTCGGGAGAGGGGTTTCTAAGAAAGCGGGAGAGGATAAAGGCGGCGAATACTATATTAGGACGTATTATAACTACTATATAAAGTACTAATCCGATCTTTTCTTAATAAGATTTAATCTTTTAAGCGGTGGCTTTATCTTCTCTTTTCTAGTATTCCATAACGGGAATAGGGATTACTAGGTAGGTATTTAGAGCGTCTAATTTAAACCTAGCTACGATCTTTTCGATATATAAGTTATAGGAGAGGAAAACCTTATATCTAGGGCGATCTTAAGTAATCTTCATACCTAAAAACTAATCGGCTTCCCCTTTTTCCGATACCTCGAACCTTATTTCAATCCCTTCGATAATCCTAAGGCCGTTTATAGCAGTATCTTTATAAAATAATACAAGAATATCGTCTATAAAGAAGATAACGAATACGTCTTAAGCCTTAGAATAGAATAGACATAGTTTTTCCTTACTAGCCTTTATCTCTAAGTCTATTAGGGTGGCTATAAAGGTCTAGAACTATAGTCTAGGCGAGTCGCGTAGTCTATATAGTGTTTTATCGAGCTCTAAGCACTTATTAGACTACTTAAATCTATCAGGAAGTTCGTATATAACGGGCGTTCCTATTTTACTCCTCTAAGCGTTAACGAAGGCGTTAACAATATTAAGTTACTTAATCTCTAGATTAAACTAAGTAGCCAGGGCTATAATAATATAAAAAGATTATATAGCGAGTATTACTATATAGGTTCCCTCTATTATTAAGCTCTCCTATAAATCCCCTTGAATATATAAGCGTGCCTTATATCGTTTAAGATATCCGTCTTAGTCAAACTTATAGGTAAAAACCCACTTTAACAGAAAAGGCTTTAACTTCGCCTCTAAGCGCTTAATTTCCCTCTATGTACGCTTCTTAATTAGCTTATTTACCTCTTTCTACGCGGTTTCCTTAAACCGTTTATATATTAGGTAGTTAGTAAGCTCCCGCTAATACCTTAATATAGCCTTTAGGTAGTTACGATAAACCCTACTATCGATTAAGGGCTTCGGTAACATTATAGCCTCTCTTTTAGTATTTAAGCGGGTATTTATTTTAGTATCGGCTACTCTAAGAATTATTAAATTAAAGGTTAGAAGCCGTTTTAGCCTATCCTAGCGCTCTTTTTATTAATTAGATAAGAAAAAGATATAAGTTAAAGATATATCTAGCTCTGTCTAATATATCGGTGGATTAATCCGAATAATCTTTCCTTAAGCACGGCGATCGGTGATTCTTATACTAACGCGCGTTACTTCCTTTCCTAATGTACTCTTTTTCCTTTAGTGGGCGGTTACCTTAGGAGTCGGTCGGATAAGTAGTTTAGATCCGGACGCTATAGTACGGCTAATACTATAGTACGGATTAGGGGTAGCTAGTCCCTATACTATCGCCTACGTACTCCTTTCTATAGTTAAAATCGTCGAAGTATCCGTATTAAGCTCTAGTATATATAATCCTAGCGTATCAGTTACAGTATCTTCTTAGGTAACCGCTCCATTATCTTATTAGTCAGAAGAATTATTAATTAAGAGTTCCTCCGAAGACTACGGCTCTACGCTTATAACCTAAAGATTCCTGCTCTAAGGATTAGGTATTACGCGTGGGGTTTAAAGTCCTGTTACGGGCAGTTCGGGTGTACTAAGTACGTCTATATCTAGTAGTAGCGAAGAAGCGTTTATTTATACCTTTACTACTCCTACCCCCGAGTTCGAACCCGTAGACTATACTTATTCTTTAGAAGGTACGCTATTGATTAATCTACTTAAAGGGTAGGCCTATAAGATAAAGTCGTTATCTTTATCTTCTTATATTTCGTAAGTTATAAGCTAGTTCCTCGCTTTAGGCTCCGGGATCCATTCTGCTTCTTCGAGCTATAGTTTATAAAATAGCTGCTCGTTAAACTATATATTACGCATTATAATAACCTTTTAAAGCTATAGAATCTATACTCGATAAATATTATAGGTAATATAACCTATAAGATACCTAATATATCCCCTTAATTAAACCTTATATAGTTTTCTATTCCTCTTAGCCTCCTTATCCCTTACTATTAAATAGGCGTAGTAGCTATAGATATAAATACTACTCTAATTAGGGCGTAGGTCGGCTATATACTCTCTTACCGAAATCGGCGTATTATCTCTAAACCATAAGTCGAGGATTTCTACTGAGGATTTCTATCCGTGGCGTTATAAGGGACTTCTATTATATAATAACGCTACTATTCTAATGCTTTCTAGCTATTTATCTAGTAGAATTCCTACTCCGTTAAGTATAGCGTTAGACTTTATAATAATTAGTTAACCGGCTCTCTCGCTGCCTCCGTTCGGTTTAGAGGTATAGGGCGGTATAATTTCTATATCGATCCCTTAACTACTCGTCTATAGCTAGGTTATTAAATCCCCTACTAGATTAACAATTAAGGGCTTATTATCACTACGTATCTTATAGATATATAATATAAACTGCCGGTTAGCCTATCGTTCGAAGGCTTATAACGCGTTATAGACTATAACGCTATTTTTCGAAGCTAAAGGCAGTATATAGATCTAGCCGCTATATTTATCCTTTATTATAAGAAGATATCGTATACCGTTATAGCTCTTAGATAGCTCTTAAAGATCCTAATAAATACGCTAAAACGGTTATAGGGAGCGGTATTCTAATACATATCGAGATATAACTTAACGTGCCTAGGTTCTAGAGTATATCTCGTAGTCTATCCGCTTAGTTCTCTTAATTAATACGTTCCTAGCGTTACGAACTAATACTCGTAGAGCGCTTAGTCTAAGATAGCCTGCTTTTAAATACTATAACTATTCTTCATCGACTTATAGACGCAGAGGGTCGCGGGAAGGTCGGTAATATCGGTAAGCTTTTATTAGTCGATTAACTACTATAACTAGTATATATTAATAATCGTAACTAATCGGAATAACACTATATAGTATCGGTTAGAATAATAACTAAGAAGAAGAAGATAAAATTAGCTTATACTAAAGGATAGTTATATTAAAGCGTCGAAGCAGCTTTAATAAGACTACGCTCTTCTCCGCTGTTCTAAAGCGTAATAAGTAGTTATATCCCGAATACTAGATCCTAACCTTATATAATAGAGCTTCCAATATAATATTCGTGTAAAATCCCTCCACGATAACTATATTATTAAGCTCTAAGTTAGCTTTCGGAGTACCTAAAGGTCTATTAAGAATTCCCTTAAAAAGCCGTTTACCTTTACTAATAATCGGAAAGTCGGTTATACCGGATTCGATAGATCCTTTTATAGGAATAAAGGAACCTAGAATAAGCAGGTCGATTAAGTTAATAAGGTAAGTTACGCCGTAATTATTAAGAAGAGTGCTTTACAAGAGCGGGTAAGGGCTTAGTCGGAGCGCGGCGTAGATCCTAGGGACCTCTTCTATAGTATAGATAAAGGCGGCATCTAGGATAGTTATAATAACCTTCCTAGGATACCTATCTTTACCCTTACTACTACCGCTCTCCGAGCTTTCCTATCCCTTTTTCGATAGTTTTTTGCGTAAGCTTTTCCACTTTAGGAGCTTAATCTCCTTCCGTATCTCCTTATACAACTTATTATTAACGTAGGTATTAAATCTCTACTCGTATTTTCCGGTTAAAGCGTACTCTAGCTTATTATAGTACTCTAGCTTCTAAGTATATTCGCGTCGATAAGGGTAATTAATACTCTTTTTCTTAGGCTTCTTTCCGCCCTTATTATTATCTAAGCGGTCTCCTAAAGTCACGTAAACGCTATAGCGCGTTCTATCCGTGGTTAAAGCGCTTATAATAGCGTTAAACTCGCGGCCGTATATTAAAAGATCGGAAATCTTATCGCCGTGGACCTTTTTTACTACTAGCTCCTAAAGCTTAGTTTCTGCCTAAATAGGCGTAAACTTCTATCTAACTGCTATACGGAAGTTCCGAATAGTAATAGGTCCTTTAATCTCGGCTACCTTTTACTAATATACGCGTCTAATAAGGGTATTCTACTCCGTATACTATATAGCTATTTTAGTATTAGCTTAATAAGCGTCTTATAGATACTTTTCGTATACTCGTCTTACCTCTTCCTTCGTATAAATACTACTTAGAGTAAAGCTACTCTTAAGTTCTTTCATTATATAGCGTAACGTAAAGTATCTATTTTATTTTTCCTCTTTATAGCCGGGATATTTTTTAATAGCCTTTTCGATAGCCTATTAATAAGCAGAGGTCTCCACGGTAGTTTTAAGTAGTTAATTAGCCTTATTAAGCGCCTTGAAAAGGCGACCGAGCTTTTAATTCTAGGCTATAGTCTACTAATTCTTAATTTCGGCGAGGCGTATAAGCTCCTGCGTTAAGGGTATAATAGTATTATCGCCCTCGCCTTAGGAATACTATTCGCGTAGTTAATCTAGGGATTTAGGTATAATATACTTAGGACGGTTATCTAGCTAATCCTTTTAGCTAGGATCGAGTAATACCTAGACCTTTATCCCTTACGTATACGACTGGATATAGAAGATCTGATCGGCCTATTACCGCATGGATTTAAGGCACGGGATACTGAGCGCTTTAGCCGTGATCTTAAGCGTATTCGATATAGTATCGAGTAAGGGTTTAGCGAATAAGAGCTTATTATTAGGAGAGAGAGTGTAGGAGGGCTCCGTAATACTATAAAAGCATATAAAAATAAACGTAGATAATAGATTAGCAGGAAGTTATTAGTTACTACTACTACCCGAGCTTATAACTATTAAATTAATAGGAGCGTGCTTATAGGGAGCGTTAATTCAGGAAATATATAATTATATTATATATAAAAGAGAAAGAAAAAGGGGGCGGGTATACGTATCCTAAATACATCTGCCACCTTCTAAGCAAGGATAATAGGGCACCTCCAACTAATAGGAGAGCACTATACCGTGGCTCACGTGATAGAATATAACAATTTAATATCGGGTCACCATCGCGCATTATCATCATAAGCAAAAGTTGTCGGCGTGGACAAGGAGATTTCTAAGATTCTCGTATCCGAGCGCAGACAGCTAAGGCGGAAGAAGAAGGGCCATCGCGAGGCCGTACTCCGTACTTTGTAGGGTAATGAACTGCTGGTGTTGGGATTCAATCATTAATTTTGGTCGTGGGAGAGTGGCAGGTGAAGCATTCGCTTTGTATATATTGCACGCGCCGTCGCTGGGAAGGGTCAATGTGATTGGCTGCTAATTACCTTAGGTAAGTAAGTATAGATGACTAACTGTTCACACCGTCCTCAATCCAAAGCGCGACACGACGCGATGGTTTACGGAATATATATACCGAAAACCACCAAAATCGATCGTCGGTTTAGAAGTACTGAAGCTCTCTGATGGTGGGCACCAAAGCACACTTCCTTCTTATGAAAAGCAGATCGCCTGAATACATGGTTATCCTTCATTGAGACGAGCTTGTAATCCAGACCCTTTCGTGACGGGGCACCTCAACCCAACACTACCCCGCAAAAGACCCCAAGCTGCAGTGTGCAGTGTGCAGTGTGCAGCGCTTCGAGAGTCAGCTGATAATTAACATCTAGTACGTACCATAATGATTATAGAGAAATCATCCGTGCCACACCCCATTTATTTTGGTTTGTTTAGCACTTACTAGCTATAAGCTGGTACCGGATAGTTATATCGCTAGGATAGTTATATCGCTATTTTTCTATAATTATAGATAAAAACACGGTTATTATAAATAGCTTTAAAAAAGTAGTTATAAAATTATCCTGGCGATATAACTGTAGCACCAAGCTTATAGCTGGTGAGTGCCAAACGAACCAAAATGAGTGGGGCGTGGCACGGGTATGGGCATTGTTTAGATGATTCGACCCTGAGTGGGGAAAGCCACTTACCTTATGTATGGCTTTAGGAGGTGACGTCGCAAACACCATTTCAGGTACCCTCTGTAATTACCTTTTAGAGAGAAACCCATATCCATTCCGGCAATTGCACCAATCTTGACCACGATCACCTCACATTCCGGATTCCCTCTCCCGCTCAGCTTCACCTCTTTTGCTCGAGCGCATCGTCGTTTCCCTCGTGTCGAGCCAATCCTCCATATAGACGGCCTCATCGGCACTTCGGGGTGTCTCCCTTCCCCTTCCCCCCCCCCCCAACCAAACAAAAGAAAAAATCATTCTCGGATCGTTGCATTCCCCCTTCCCGCTCGGCATTCGCCCCTGCGAAATTCACAATGCCGCCCAAATCTTCCAAGGTTGGCCACGATGATGGGAAATCCGAAACCACGAATACAAAAGAAAAGAACTCGTCCGGGAACAATCACCACGCCGGTAACGGTAAAGCCCGCCGTGGAGGGCACTCAGCAGCGTCCCAACCGAAGGAAACTCCCAATGCCAACACCAAAACCACTACAAAAGAAGAACCACAGGCCCCCGGGGTACGCTATCAGTCCTCTTTCCCCGTAATCTGATCTTATGCTTTGCCAATTGTATGGTTTCTGACACACGGGTTCTTGGACAGATCGATTGGAACTCCTTCGACCGAGACGCCCTGCATGCCTACTGCCGAGAGCATCGCATCAACACGCCAGCCTCGTTCTCGAATTCGTACCGTCAGATGATCCTGTCACGGCCCGGTAGCATCGGCCTGTACTCGCCCACAATGGCTAGGAAACGAGAAGAGAGGAGGCAAAGCAAAGAAAAGCTAGCGTTGGTAGTGCGCAAGCATTTCAACGGCGTGGGGGTCCAGGAGAACGATGTCATCGTCGACTTCATCCACAAGGTCAGATGTCGTAGCATATCGAAGGCGGACAGAATGAGGCGCCCACCGCCTCCGTTCGATCTGGAGAGGTAGGGGAACCGACGGTAGAGAACGGGAGAAAGAGCCTATACAAGAACACAGACACACACCCCCTGGCCCGTGTATGGCGCTTCTCGGGTGGTCTAGGTCTGGGTATCGAAGGCGGAGGATTGCATTTCAGGCGTTTTGGTCGGATAAATCTGGTATGGGATTCAAACGGGACATGCATACCTCAACACATCTGGTAGGATGTCATGGCGATTGATTGGGTTTGGGCTTTGGATACGTCCTTCTCTTCTCTTTTTCATTCAAAATATATCCAATTTCTATCTTCATTGTGTGCTGCTTTTTTGGGCTTGTGAAGTTTCCCTCCCGCGATCCATCCCCCGCCTCTGTAACGGGACCGGCTATCCGAGGGTACATTCGGTGAGTCTTCTAGCAGTCCCCAAGTACAAATACCCAAATACCCACCAGCTTCAGAACGCGTTGTGTGGGTCACCCGGTCTACCGCGTCATACCGCGTTGCGAGTTCTCCACCACTCAGAATTGCACCCTTCTTCTCAAAGCCCCACTTGACGGTTCCAATTAGAAGGTGCCTCAGGTATCCAATTTCGGCTTAAGGCCGGAGCAGCTAAAAAAAAGTTGGCATTGATATCATGGTCCATCTCGAATCGCAAAGAATTTCCGTGAGGTTCTATCAGCGCACTTTGGTGATATTTCTCGTCTACGTATCTTTCTCTGTTCCCTGAAGCTCTTTAGTTTTCTTCTCCGTTTTCGTACTGTCGCCTCCCATGTTTTGCTTACATCAAGTATGAATTCGAACGTCTTAACCAAGGCCGTGGCGGCTCCCAGCTGGCTTCTCCCCAGCCGTGTATGCCGGCGATCCAAGCTGAGGGATTCGATTTGCAATCGTGCATCAATACATACCGGGTCCTTGGGTCCGAGGCATTGTAGCCGCTCGCCATCGCGGATAACAAGCGCCGTCTCGTCTCCGAAGCGTGTAAGTTCTCATCCCCGTCCATTGACGTCCGTAAGAACTACCTTCTGATTTCCTTGTCTTGCTGGCCAGACATTCCATGCAAGCCCAACCTCTCTAGCGCAGAAGGACCCGTACAAAGCCCTGGGTGTTGATAAGTCGGCGTCACCCTCGGACATCAAAAAGGCGTACTATGGACTAGCGAAAAAATACCACCCGGATACGAACAAGGACCCCTCTTCCAAGGAAAAGTTCGCCGAAATCCAATCCGCATATGAGATCCTCTCCGACCCGAAGAAGAAGGAACAGTATGACCAGTTCGGTGCTGCCGGGTTTGATCCCAATGGTCAGCCACGCGCCGATCCGTTCGGTGGAGCAGGACACCCGTTCTCCGGCTTCGGTGGGCATGGTGGTTTCCAGGGCGGCTTCGGCGGCGGGTTCAACTTCGAGGACATCTTCTCTGCATTCGCGGGAGCTCAGGGATCACCATTCGGACGACGCGGGGCTCGGAACCCATTCCAAGAAGAGGTCCTCGTCGGCGACAACATCGAGGTGCAGGCGAGCATATCGTTCATGGAAGCGGCCAAGGGTACGGCGAAGACCCTCACCATCACGCCTCTGGTGGCATGCGGTACCTGTTCCGGCAGCGGGCTCAAGCAGGGGACGAAGAGGACGGAGTGCAAGTCGTGTGACGGGACGGGAACGCGCGTGCACTTCATGAACGGGGGCTTCCAGATGGCATCGACTTGCGGCACGTGCGGCGGGTCGGGAACTACTGTGCCGAGGGGCTCGGAGTGTAGGCCGTGCGGCGGGAACGGTGTGGTGAGGGAGCGCAAGACGATCACGGTGGATATTCCGGCCGGTATCGAGGACGGTATGCGGTTGCGGGTGGACGGTGCGGGCGATGCGCCGGTGACGGGCAAGACGGCCGACCCCAACGCGCGCGCACATAAAGGCGACCTTTACGTCTTCATCCGGGTGGCGCCCGACTCCAAGTTCAAGAGGGCGGGTTCCGATATCCTATACACGGCGAACATCCCCATCACGACGGCCATACTGGGCGGCGAGGCTGCCGTACCGACCTTGGATGGACAGGTCAACGTCAAGATCCCGACGGGCACCAACACGGGAGACCGGATTACGCTCTCTGGCATGGGGATGAAGAAGCTGAGCGGCCGTCGGGGTTCGGGCGACTTGAAGGTCGAGTTCCGGGTGAACATGCCGAAATACCTGAGCGCGAACCAACGCACCCTCGTTGAGATGCTTGCGAACGAGATGGGAGACAAGACGGCCAAGAGGATCATGAACGTCTCCAAGGGAGGGTAAGGAAGTTCTAGTGTACCCAGGAGCATTCCGGTTGAAGGATCGCAACGAGGTCTGACTGACTTCTTCTCGTTGCAGGTCCGACAAGCCGGCCGACGGTCCCGACTCTCATAAGAACGAGGGGTTCCTCAAGTCGATTTGGCACAGCCTGACGAACCATCCGGCCCATGAGAAACCCACCGAGAGCGACGACTCGAGCAAGACGAGCAGCGGCGACAGAGCATCATCGGATAAATCGACGACGGACAAGAAGGAAGAAGATGGCTCGAGGAAGGAATGATGAACCCCCAAAATAGAAGGGGGCAAAAATAAGAGAGAAGAAAAGAAACGGGTGATAAGGGGACTGGGGCAGGGCCTGCCGCATCCCTTCCCGCTGTACTATATGGTCATCTCATCTTTTCCACCCGGAGCAGACGAGACATAATCGTCCTCGATCGGACGGCAAGGAAGCGAGTGATGCTTGTACTACTATGAGGGGCGACCGCATATTATTGTCATGGTAGATCGGCGTCAGCGGAACACGGACGGGGCTGCGTCTTAAACCCATCTCCACCGCTTGATGGTGTCTAGGTAAAATCTTGTCCAGCTCGCAGTCGTGTATACTAAAATCAGATCCAGTGGCATACAGCCCATAGAATAGAATAGGGGGTCGTCGGAGGCATAAGCCGCGAGAGCCCCCGTGGGAGCCAGCCACCTCTCACACCTTGAAATTGAAGAAAGCGCAAATAATATCATTGAATAAGAGAATACGGCAGACTGGCGGAAGGGACATTGGTCGCGGAATATCAGCTCGTCGCGAGTGTCGTGATAGTGATCTCTGAGCTCAATAATACGATGTTCGAGTTGTCCAGATTACGCATCGTAGCTTGCGCCCAGGATTCTTGGGGTCGCAACCCAGGCGACGACAATGTAATAAGCTCGCCTGCATGGAATTGCGTGCCGTATCTAATTTCTTGTTAAAAGGCTGAGCAAGTGCCGGCCCGCTCAGCTGGGCAGGTCGCAGAACGGGTCACAGATGTTCCACAGAGACGGATGAGACAAAGAGATCGAGCGGGAGCAACATGCGTAACGAACGAATAGTGGCATCAACGTAGTTTGAGTTGCTCGCCCGTCCATCGGCCTGGTCTCGCTATAGGCAATAAGAACTACAGAACTTTTCAAGCCTCCCGATTATTGTACCGTACTTATTCTCTCGGCACTTCGCTACCCATCGTCATCCCAGCGGTCAGTCAATCCGAAGAGAAACGACCAATTCCCCCCCCCCCCCCTTAGACGCCATCAGAAAAATTGTGAAAGGAATCATCTAGGGTCAAATGGCTGCGCCAATAGGGGCGAGGAGACGGGTCGAAGGGGCGAGAGAGAGCCGCTACCAGGCTCGTCACCTGCATGCGTGTGAAGAGACTAGGACCAATGCTGTCGCCGGCGCAAGGTTCGTGCCTGCGGTACGGGTGCCATCGAATTCTGACTCTGCAGTCATCTCTATGTGATTGCTTGTGGAGTAGTAATCGGATGGGCACATCGGATGCGAAGCTGTCGTAAGGGAAGAAGATTTGACCCGATGCAACCGGGGATGCGGCTAGTGGACGGATGCTACATACCTTAGGTAGGGAGTTAAGTATCATGGGGTCCCGTGATAGCTGCCCGACCAAAGGACTTGACAAGTCGAGTGGATAGGAGGGCTTCTGCTGTCGTTTAGTCGGCGGCTACATTTCAATTTCTTGCTGATTTCGGCGCAGCGCTAATCTACCCATTACTCTCTGTTATAATAGCACTCATATCCGTAGAACCCATAAACTTCAGGGAATTGAGAATCCCGTGGTATATCTGTTCCTCCCATAAGGTAAGGTAGCCGCCGCTCTCACGGTGTACTCCGTACTTCGTAGCTGGATCACAGCTCGGTCTGGGCCCAAGCCTACATTAAGGTAAGGTACGGTACCGTAGGTATTCGTATCACTGAGTACGACCTACACACTTACAACGAACGTACTCGGTAGTATGTCCAGAATGCCTAACACTAAGGTAGGTACCTTTATATAGCTTAAGTACCTTACCTACCTTACGGAGTACGGATACGCCATATCATTTCATTACATCCCATCCACGCATCCCTTCTAAACAATCTGTCGTCCGTCTCCCGTGATCCTCGAGCTGGGCTTGGGCACTGGCTGAGCTCCTTAACTTGGTCGTGCTCTTTGGTACGGGAGGATTAAGCGCCGATGACATCCCTACCCCACCACCAATATCAACTCTTTTATCCCTCTCCATCTTACTTTCTCCCTTGCCTCTCGATTTTTTATTTTATTTTCTTTTGCGGACTATCTAAGGTAAACACCGGCCCTTGTTTGGACGTCGTCCCGCTACACACAAGTACTGGGCAGTTCTACCGTCGGTGGATGGGTGGGTGTTGTGGTCCGATTAATACCTACCTTACTCTCCCGACATACGGGACTTCTATCGGTACTCTGTTGGTAAGTACTGTACAAGTAGTCTACGTAGCAACAAATGGTGGGTTGAACATCACCGATATACGGATACCTTACTGAGTATCTAAGGATTCCGTGTCAAATCTCGGTACTATGACCTCACTGGCGCCAGGCAGCTACATTTCCCTGGATCAGGTGCCATGGCCAGTACGCAGTACGCAGTACGCAGTAAGTGGACGGAGTGCCAGGTTCCAGGTTGCACAAGTGCTCAAGATACGTACCCTGCCCACTACGGGACATCCCACCTCTAAGCTGACCCGACCCAGCTTCCCTCATCCACTCATATCACTCTGCAGTTCTTCTCCCCTGCCCAGACAGATCGTACGTGCAAAGTACTCACTCCGTACAACTCGGGTGTCTTCCATCCCCTCCTCTACCTTACTTTTCCACCCATCATACCTTAAGTAGCGAGTTTCTTACCGCCATTGCACGCACGCAAACCATCAGCTCCCAGGAGCAGACTGGGCCGCCACAACAGGCCGCAGCAGCACAGAATTCTGCCAGAAGAATCCCCTTCGCTGCATGGATCGCAGCACGTAAGGAACCTACCTAAGCACCCAAGCACCTAAGCTGCCCGATCCCGCCCCCACCGTGATCGCTTTCGACCCTCACAACCCCGCGTCAACCATCCCACCACTTCCGGCATCTGTGCCGCCGTTTGTCTTTTTCTTTTTTTTTTTTTCTTTTTCTTCTTTTTTTTTCTTGCTTTCTACACCCCGTATCTCCAATCCTCGGCGGCGTACACATTCGGGTTCCTTCCCGTACTGTTCCTCCTGCTTCGTTTCTTGAAGACGACGGCCTTTTCCGCTTTTCCCCGACCGGATCCGAACGCTCGCGAGGCGCGCCCAACCCAGCCACCGACCGACCGACAGACAGACAGACAGACAGACAAACAGACAGGCGGGACCAGATAGAACGACGACGCAATCGGAGAGGGCTGTAGGCAAAAAGCCCAACGGGTAGCTGTCCCAGATCATGACGCAGTCTCCGATGATCTCGGTGCCGCTTAAGGCTACCAACGAGATCGACTGGGTCACACCGTTGAAGAACTACATCAGGAACACTTACGGAGACGACCCCGAACGCTATACAGAGGAGTGCGCCACTCTCAACCGTCTCAGACAGGATGTCCGAGGTGCGGGTAAGGATAGCACTTCTGGTCGCGACATGCTCTACCGATACTACGGCCAGCTTGAGCTCCTCGACTTGCGCTTCCCCGTCGATGAGCACCACATCAAGATCTCGTTCACATGGTCTGCCCCGTCTTCCTAGGCATCTTTGCTCTTTCCATTCGAAGGCTAATGTTGGGATGGGCGTTTGCAGGTTCGACGCATTTACACATAAAGCTACATCGCAATACTCTCTCGCCTTCGAGAAAGCATCCATCATCTTCAACATTGCCGCCGTCCTGTCATGCTACGCCGCCCACCAGTCTAGATCCGAAGAATCGGGGCTCAAGACCGCATACCACAATTTCCAGGCTTCTGCCGGCATGTTCACCTACATCAACGAGAATTTTCTCCACGCCCCTTCCGCCGACCTGAGCCGAGATACGGTCAAGAATCTCATCAGCATAAACCTAGCTCAAGCGCAAGAGGTCTTCCTCGAGAAACAAGCCGCCGACCATAAGAAGGTGGGCCTACTGGCCAAGCTCGCCAGCCAGGCTTCGACCCTATATACTCAGGCCGTCGAAGGAATTCAGGAGAACGTAACGAAAGCCATATTCGAGAGAGTCTGGCTTCTCATGGTACAGGTACGACAGCTGTGGACCCCCCTGGCCGACTCGACCACTGTTGCGTTGTCCTTGTCCTTTTCTCATACTTCCCCTACTACCACTCGGCGCGCAAAAACGAACTGACCAACCCCCCCAGATCAAAGCAAGCTTTTTCAGTTCCATGGCGCAGTATTACCAAGCCCTAGCCGACATTGAAAGTAACCAGCACGGCGCGGCGGTAGCCCGACTTGAAGCGGCCGAGAAGTCGGCCAAAGAAGCCGGCCGTCTTGCCACCAGCTTCCCATCCTCGTGTCCGCCGGGGTCCAACCTATCTTCCGATACCGGTGCTATCCTAGCCGAGGCCACCAAGCGACACCTTTCTACAGTACAGGACAAGCTTCGGGAGATGGTCAGGGACAACGATTATATCTACCAGCAGAGTGTGCCGGCAGAAGCGAGCCTGGCCCCTGTGGGTAAACTCCCTGCTGCGAAGCCCATTCCCGTCAGCGAACTCTATGCCGGCCAGGATATCCAGCGCATTACGGGCCCGGATCTGTTCGCCAAGATAGTTCCCTTTGCCGTGACCGAGATGGCGAGTTTGTACGACGAAGAGAAAGCCAAGCTGATCAGAGCCGAGACCGAGAAGGTGGACTTGGCTAACGGAGAGCTGGCTGCGAGTTTCGACTACCTCAAGCTACCCGGCGCACTTCAGATTCTCAAAGGAGGCTTCGATCAGGAGATCCTACCAGACGACGACTTCAAGACGTGGTGCGACGACGTTGCCGACCAGGAAAACCCGGCAGCCATTTTCGAGACCCTCAGGTCGGAGAAGGAGACGATCGTGTCCCTCCTGGACAAGAGCACGAAACATCTGGACATGGAGGAGAGCGTCTGCGAGAAGATGAGATCGAAATACGAGAGCGAGTGGTCGCAGCAGCCGAGTTCGCGTTTGACCACGACCCTGAGGGGCGACATTCGGAACTACCGCGAGGCTTTGGAAGAGGCATCCCGGAGTGACGCACAGCTTCTGGCGAAGCTCAGGCAAAACGAGGGCGAATTCGACGAGATGCGCACGGCTGCGGCGAATGGCGAGGTCGACGCTCTATTTCAGCGGGCCGTGAACAAGGCACGCGTCAAGTCTAGCAGCGCGACCAGTCCCATGTCCAACGAGCCCAATCTCCTGGATGCCGATTTCGAGGAGGTCGGCCCGAGCGTATTGGACCAGATCAGGCACGTCGAGGACATTATGAAGAAGTTGCACCTCGTCAAGAGAGAGCGCAACCAGACCCTGAAGGATCTTAAAGAGAAGGTATGCCGTTGGTACCCTGTGATGGCCCGTCTCTTGTCGAGCAGCTGTCGGCTAACGTCTCTAGGTTCACAATGATGACATCTCAGAGATCCTCATCCTGAACAAGAAGAACATCTCCAACTACGAGCAGCAGCTGTTCCAGTCCGAGCTCGAGAAGTTCCGTCCTCTGCAGAACAGGCTCCTCCAAGCCAGTCAGAAGCAGTCGTCGTTTATGAAAGAACTCAACTCGGCCTTCAACACTCTTCTACAGGATAAACGCGTCCGGGCAGAGCAGAGCAAGTACGAGGCCGTTCAGCGGCAGCGAGCCTCGGCCATCAACCGATACAAGCGGGCGTACCAGGAGTTCCTCGATCTCATAGCCGGCTTGCAGAGTGCGAAACGGTGGTACGAGGAAATGAGGGAGACGGTCGAGAGCTTGGAGAAGAACGTCATGGCATTCGTGAACAACCGACGATCCGAGGGTGCACAGCTCCTCGACCAGATCGAAAAGGACAGGGCGTCTCGGAAGGATGCGCAGGCCGAGGTAGAACGGGAACGCCTCAGGGAGCTCATGGACCGCATGTCCATGGAGCCCAAGAGCTCCACCCCGCAGCCCGGCAAGAACTCCTCGGGTCGCCCAACGCCTGCTCCTCTCAACCTAGGCTCGAACACGTCTTCCGGCTCGATACCTCGATATCCCCATACCAATTTCCAAGGACAATACCAGGTCCCACAGTCCCCTCCCGCCACACAGATCCCCGGCATGCAACAGTACCCCAGCTTCGCCCCTCCTCCCAACTCGCAGTCCTTCGCGTCGCAATCCACCAGCAGCACGTACGGCCAGCCGACATATAACCCAAGCCAGTACGGCCGCACGCCGGGCCCGACGTCCCCGCCGCCTCACCAGTCGACCTTCGGACCCGCCGTACTGCGGGGTCCGGCCTCACCTCCGCCGAACCAGACAACCTTTGGACAGACACAGCCACTGCCGCATCAGCAACCCTACGGAGGCTACCCGGGGCCTCAGCAGCACCAAGCAGGGCACTCGCACAGCTCATCTCAGAGCTTCGTGCCTCCGGGTTTCGTGCCCCCGCCACCCCCTCCAGGTCCTCCCCCTCTTGGGCCGCAGCAGACTTTCTACGGGGAGAATTTCCAGCAGCCGCAGCAAACGCCCGTCGGTCAACATGGCTCGTACCACGGGTCGTACCCGCAAGGCTCGCATACGCAAGGCTCGCAGCCAGGACCTTCGAATGATCCGTGGGCAGGGCTGAGTGCGTGGAAGTGAACTAGGGGCTGGTGTTTGCATGGAGGATAGTACGGTGAAGTATTCCCCTGGATGAAGGGAGGAAAGAACAGGCTCATACGGGAGCCGGAATATGAGGTATATTTGACGGACGATACGGCTTGGGGGTCAGAAACTGGAAACAAGGAAGTTATCAAGTGGGCAAAGTCCAACGAGAGCATGGTAGATTTGAAGGAGACTGATTCTTTGCGCTGAAAACATCCAAGACTTTATTAGTCGCATTGTGTCTGGCGTCAAAGGGGGGGGGG